CAGGGTCTCTCCCTGGCGAGCTGAGAGCTGGCTGGGAGCTTGGCTTTCCCTGCAGGCACTGTGCTGGTGTGCTGCTTAAAGGTACGCAGCCAGAGATGGGGGTCTGTGCCATGCTGGGGGTCCTGGGGCCCACCACCCAAGTGAGTACACCCCCCCACCCATGGCAGCAAGGGGGATTTTTGGGAGCTGGCATGGCTCCAGCACCATCTTGGGAAGCAATCAGGCCCACAGAGTAGAGGAGAAGCTTTTTTTTTTTTCTGGGCATTTGCATGTTTTTGAGCAGTGTGTGGGTGTAGGGTGCAGTGCCTGTGGCAGAGCAGGGCAGAGTGGCCCTGTGCCCACTCCCTGTCCCCCCTGGGGTCCAGCATGTTGGCATGGGGGTGGCTGCTGCCAGCAGGGTGGTGTGTGCTGTCAGCAGGGTTGACAAGTGTCAGGACTGGGGGAACTTGGCTGGTGCCCTGTGCCCCCCCAGACTGTCCCCAGAGACCTGCCTGTGGCTGGGGCTGACCCATGAGTACCCCCATCACCCCTGCATCTGCCCTCCCCCAGCTGTAGGGCACAGCTGATGTGTAGGTTTGGTGCAGAAGCCTGTGCCAGCCAAGTGCCTGCCCCCTCCCCAGACCCTCCTGCCCTCCACCTGCAGTCCTCCAGGAACCCCTTTTTCCCTGAGCGGGCATCTCTACCCACAGACCCCAGAGTGGAGGGCAGCATTTGGCTGCTGCCTCCATCCCAACCCAGTGGCCCAGTGTCACCCAGTCCCCCCCCCAGCATGTCAGGGGCCCCGCCAGCCTGCTCCCCAGCCTACCTTCTCCAGCCTCCCTGGGCATGGCTTCCCGTGCCCTGCACCCGGGCAGCGTGAGTGGGCAGTTAGGCAGTGCGGGGCCCCTGGGAGCCGGGCTCCCGGTGCGCCAACTGTGATGCTTAAAATAGGACAGTGAGAAACATGGTTGGGGGTGATAAAAATAGCCATGGGGAGGGGGGGACTGGCAGCACAGTCAGTGCCGTCGACAGCAAGGTGCCAGCGTGGCAAAGGGGGAGCAGCATACAGTGCCCCCTTCCCCCACCCCTCATGCCCTATTCCCAGGGTAAAGGGGCTGCCTGCTCACTGTGGGATCCCTGCAGAGCCCATGCAGGGAAACTGAAGCACCACTGGGCCCAGCCAGAGCCAAAGTGGGGTTTCTGCTGCCTCTCAGAATCATGCCCAGCCCAAGGGTACCACAGAGCCATCCCTGTTTATACCCACAAAGACCATGCCAGCTGTGCTAAGAGGATTTATTTAAAAAAAAACATAGGAAGTGATGGACAGCAGTGCTCGTCGGTAGGGGACCATAGCGGTCCCCAGCCCTGGTCACCGGCCCCAGGTGTCCTGTGGCAGGCAGGTGTCAGAGGGCATGAGGTCACTGTGCCCACAAACGCCATGAGCAGGGGTGGATGGCAGGCAGGGGGTGGCAGGCCCAGGCTGGACCTGCTGGGCACAGTCCTCACCGGCCCAGCCACGGTAGCAGTGGCAGCGGAAAGCGG